TATTGACTCCGAAGTCTAGAAATTCGAAATGAAAGTACCACTCTATTGACTCTAAAGCCTAGAAAGTAGAAATGAAGGTACCACAATATTGACCCAAAGCCTAGAAAATAGAAATGAAGGTACCACAATATAAAACCAAAGGAGAAGGGGTGGAAGAAAGTCATTTTTGGTGGACTATTTTGTATCAAACACATAACTAAGATTTTAATGATTATACCTTTTCAATCAGAAGTTTAGCACAGTCTGTATGGTTGTTTACTGCAGCTATATGTAGAGCTGTGAATCCTTGCGGCATTTTAGCGTTTACCAGCGACTTATGCCCATCTAATATTTTATCCACAGCACTTTGATAGAAAACAGAAAAAACAGAAAAAGCAATAAAAAACATTTGACACTTTTAACAATTAAATGAAAAGGGAAAATCAAAAACAAAAAGGGGGGTCGAGCGGTCGGGGTCAGAACCTTCCAAAACTGGTAATATACACCCACTGGTAACTTTTTGAATAAAAATATTTGGCAGTATAGTAACAATCACCAGTATGAAATATTCAACCTTCAGTCATACACTTCTTTTGAACTTTTTGGGAAATACTGAATAACATTACATTACATTGGTTTTGTCAAAATCCAGCCAGAATCGTGCCTTTCAGAGTTCTTAATTTTTTGATCTTTAATAGAGTTCATCCATGTGTGATAATAAACAATTTCACCACATTTCGTCAAAATCTGTAAATAATTGTGTTTTCTAGAGTGTTTACAGGCTAAAAATTGAATGCGTTTTCAAGTTCAAGGGCAATAACACATACTTAATATTTTTGTTTTCTGATTTTTAATAGGTTATATCATTGGATGGTTTCAAACACTCTCATCAAATTTCGTCAAAATCAGTCAATAATTTTGCCTTCTAGAGCGTTTACGCGCTAAACATTGAACGCGTTCCCAATTTACGGTGGGTTCGTTTTGCCGCATTGCCCAACTTGCCGCATCGTGCCCAACTGCACAAAAACAACTTGTAAAACGAAACTATAGGTTTCTGATAAAATCCGGAATGACCATTTGTTTCACATGAAACGAAATATTTTAATCTGTTGCCCCGCATCGATTTTATTTATAATTTGGACCTGTTAGGAAAATCGAAAGTATAGTTTTATGGTAAAATCTGGAATAAAATAAATACCAAGTACAAACGATCAGAACCGTAATATAAAATACATAAATATTCATAAAACGAAACAAGATAAGTTCAATAAATAAAACTGTTCCACCCTAGGCCTGAACATTTGGGAGAATCAAACCCTCCCTTCCCCGAAATCAAATTATATATTTTTCGATTTTGCTGATTTTCAATAGGGTTCATCCTTGGGTGATTTGTCANAATCTGTCANAAATTGTGCCTTCGAGAGTGTTTTACGAGCTAATAATCGAAAGGGCAATAACTCATATTAAATACTTTTTTAATACGATTCATCCTAAAATTACTGCGAGTT